ATATTATATATATGTAGCCCGGTCACGCGACAGAGTGACTCAGTAACTCGCATGTGCATTGCTCGCACATGCAGATCGCTAACACTATAGTTTGGTGTCGCTGGTCTGCTTATATGGTGAGATTAACTGAGCTGCCCTGTATGTCTTTGAACATGTAACTTTATAGGCCAATACAATGGAAAATATTAATATGTCATGATAATATACTTATTAATACATAGTACTATAGATGGAAACTATGACACACATTATTATACCTAATGATATGTGATAGAATCTGATGTAAAAAAATGTATTTAAAAAAATTAAAAAATAATGGAAAAAATAATGGAAAATATAAATAAATAAAATATTATAATAAAAAAAATTCACTCTTGGCAGAGTTATGCTATAATGTTATAACTATATATTTATATTGTTATAATATTATATTTAGTATTATTATTATTTATATATATTATAACAAGAATTCCTTTCCCTACCTAAAAAGCAAGTCAAAATTTCTTCCCCTACCTGTAAAGTAGTTAAAATTCCTTTCCTACCTGAAAAGTGAGTCAATATTCCTTCCTCTTCTTCATCTTCTTCTCTTCCTTCCCTATCCGAAAACAACACTCCCCCTGTGCCGGCGGTACACGCGTNAAGGAGGCGCTGCATGCTAGTTTTGTTGTGGCAGTAGTAGCAAAGATCATATACAATTGTACGATTGTATATGATCTTTGGTAGTAGATTGAGCCTATGAGCGAGAGCGCCATCTGTCGTGGAGTTTGCTATTCTATTTCTGTGTGCAACACACACACAATGCAAGCCTCATCCAAAACTTCCGATCTAAAATGGCGCCTGTGGCGTCACAAGTACATGACCAATCCGCTTCATCTCCTTGTTATATGTAGCTCCTTGCTTGCAACTAACTGCCTTTTGCATTTTTAGCTCGAAGCTCTGCTCGAAGTTACAGCGATGTATCCGTACCATAGAAATATAGAGAGACACATATAGTCTACCTATGTTATTTCTATGATCCGTACCCACTTCGAATAATAAACCGGTCCTGTGAAGCATGGAATGTGACATTCTTGATAACCTGGATCACCTTGGGTTTGTTGTAAACTTGTGCCTATGCGAGTAGTAGGCCTACGCCTACGTTACACGTAGACCGAATAATTCTGTCCCATATAACCTTTTTTATATTCGCAGTGGCTGGAGGTACGGTAGCCGTCGGTCGTTGAAGCACCTTTTTGGCGTTAGGGTTAGGGTTAGGATTTATGGATTAGAGGTTTGGGTTAGGTTAGGCGGTTATGGTTAGGGGTTAGGTTAGGCGTTTAGGGATATAGGAGTTCTAGCCTCATCTAACTCTCAAAATCAGTGGAATTTATCTTGCACCATAATGGCGGTTACTTCGAATCTGGCGCCACCGCTCGCCATCTTGTGTCTCGGATAAGTATGAAGCGAAGTGACTCCCGATTACCCGTAGCTTCGGAGACAATTAAGATTACGGCTACCGTAACCGGTAGCCACTGCTTTTATTATTTGCGTGAGGTTAGTATTGCGCCAGAACAGAACGGGGGTTACATTTGAATTTCGTGAGAATCGCATGCAACAAATGCATGCCGCTGCGAATGGCGCGCCGTAACGAGCACGATATTGGCACGTGAAAACAATACCCTTACCGTTCCCTATCTACATGGACTTTACCTTGACCTACTGTCACTGTGTCGCGTAACTGCATTTTGTGATATACATTCACATTCAATTCGATTATTCACTTCTTAAAAGATTGTTTTCAGGAAATACCCCCCCTTCTATCGCACTTTCCTTAAAAGTGTATTACGTTCCCGCAGAATAGTTAAAAATAAAAAAAAATATGTTTCCACTTCTTTCACAAAAATATAACAGTAATTCTGCATTTACATTTTATTGACGTTTTAAATTGCGTGCATTATACTTCCTTATTTTATATTTTGTTCGGATGTTGAACAATTGCAGTGACACCATACAATCCCCATAGCAAGCATTAAGTATATTTAGACAACATTAATTCAAATCGTCCAGGTTTTTTGGTATTCTTTAACTAGTGAGAAACAATACTTGTATCAAGTTATAGACATTTTGACGATTTGTTTAGTCCCGTTAGATTCATTACTTTTATTTAAAAAATGGAAGTATTTTTTTTACAGATTTTACCATAGAAATTTCGTGACGTAATCCCTTTAATCATTTCGCATTTACAAACAATCAGACCCAATCAGAGGCGGTCTATCAGCCCTCCTGCAGCCGCCAACAGATACCGAAGCGAGGAACCAGGTGTAATTGTAAGCCTGTTCTGATTTCGGTTCTGTTGTTTGTTAAAATGGCGAATGAATTTAGGAAGAGCTGGAAACGAAGCGCGTCTTTACTTGGAAAAGAAAAACACTCTTTGAAAACGTGAAAATACAGATTTGAAAGTGAATGTATAACAACATATCAGACTAGCAAGGGTAAACAGCCTACTGTAGCAAGCGCAACGGTCTTAGCGTTTTTTATCACGCCAATAGCGGCTGTACGGGCGCAAATTTCGGGCAAGGCGCATGCATTTTGCATGANCGTGCCTGTGTGTGCCGGTGTGCCTGCGGGCGTGCTTGCGTGTGTGCCTGCGCGCGTGCCTGTGTGTGCCGGTGTGCCTGCGGGCGTGCTTGCGTGTGTGCCTGCGCGCGTGCCTGTGTGTGCCGGTGTGCCTGCGGGCGTGCTTGCGTGTGTGCCTGCGCGCGTGCATGTGTCCGCGTGCGTGCGTGCCTGCTCGCGTGCTTGCGCGTGTGCCTGAGCTCGTGCGTGCCTGCATGCGTGCGTGCATGTGTGCAGGTGTGCCTGCGGGCGTGCCTACGTAGACCCGTAGGACCAACGACCCGTAGGATTATAGAACGGTAATCCATGCCCATGGAAAATCCTAATGAAATTCACACGTATATTTTTCCCTGCCGGCACACTCGTGTGTCATTCCCGATTGTAGCTTTTTTCGTCAATTCCCCGAAAGAGTTTTGCTGTCGCTCTCTCATAGTCCAGTAATGCCAACCCTCTACATTAGCCAACTCTCTAGTGATTAGTACCACGCTGAAACAATCTTAATAATCTCTCCCCCCCCCCCTCGAACTACTAATTTGATGGCCAGAAACTACAGATTGCTTCAAATATATGTTGGCAAACTGGAGATTGAGAACTATGTAGCATAACACATCGGCTTTGCTCTCACAACCATGCTCTCTATCTTTGTGACCTTGAACCCATTTTACAATGCCAAACGCAATGGTCCATTTGACGACTTTTCACATCCCTTATAAAATGTACTTATTACCTCCTCCCAACGGAGTTGGAGGGGAGGTAATGTGATCGGTCTTGTGCGTTCGTGTGTCAGTGTGTTCGTGTAGCCAGGAGCAAGCCAGTCAGTGTTAGTGTGTTAGTGTGTTGGCGCGATCGATATTAGCGCGTCGAGACAAGCGTGTACATGTGAGCAAGCAGCAGCAACGAGCGGCTGCTACGAGCTATGTCGCTGGCGGAGGTATGTGTTACAATACTGATACACGTACTGTATTTAGAGTTATGTTAGAACACCATGCTTTATTATCGAGCACCTGGTGGGATACCGGTCTAAGCACGCACGAAGTAAGAAGAGGCCTACTGCCACATGGCAGTGCCTTATATATACGCAAACCTCCTATAGTTCACACCAGGTGGTGTCGGCGTAACAAACGCTCGGGTGTTTGTTTGTAACAACATGTGTTGTGACAGTATGCACCAATGAAAAAATTAATTTTTTTCCCCGTGGTTCTTTGCAAACCCTCCCAAAATTTCGGGGGCTACCTTTTCATTTTCCAGGGCTCTTTTTCCACTTTCCAGGGCAACTTTTTCCCAGGGCTGTTTCCTCAAATATATGCTCCGGCAGTACCCCGGGGGACATTGACCCTCTCAGCAGTAGTAGTAGTAGTCGTAGTAGGTGCAAATTCACTTTATGCACCTTAGGTATCACGAAGTTATGCATATATTTCTGTGTACATCATCAACTGATGCACAGACTTACCGTATATCAAGGAATGATGCAAAAACCCGAACCCTAACCCTAACCCTAGCCCTAACCCTAGCTCCAAGAAACGGTATTGCTAGGGTTAGAATACCGCATATAGACAAGCTGTCGCACAGCCTGGTCGGGCTACCCTAACCCTAACCCTAACACACTTCGTGATAACTAATCCTAAGGTTATACTTTATGACTTAGGGTTAGGGTTAGGGTTTTTGCATTATTCCTTGATATACGGAAAGTCTCTGCATCAGTTGATGATACACAGAAATCTGTGCATCACTTCGTGATACCTAAGGTGCCTAAAGTGCAGCGGTGCAAATCCACTTTAGGCACCTTAGCCTTAGGTATCACGAAGTGATGCACAGATTTCTATGTATCATCAACATATGCACAGACTTTCCGTATATCAAGGAATGATGCAAAAACCCTAACCCTAACCCTAAGTCATAAAGTATAACCTTAGGTATTACGAAGTGTGTTAGGGTTAGGGTTAGGGTTTTTGCATCATTCCTTGAGATACGGAAAGTCTGTGCATCAGTTGATGATACACAGAAATCTGTGCATCACTTCGTTATACCTAAGGTGCCTAAAGTGGATTTGCACCCGGTAGTAGTACAGCTAGCTCTAGTAGTAGTATTATAGCCCGCATAGTACACGGGCTATAGTACTAGAGCTATAGTATAGTACAGCCTACACTACAGGTATAGCCCGACCAGGCTGTGCGACGGATTGTCTATACAGCCTGACACTCTTTCATACAAAAAACCTATCACCTTTGCAGATCCAGATGTATATCTCAAATAAAACTATTCTATTACCACCTTTGACTTGCCTTGTCTGAAATATGAACGTTAACTCACAGTTGTCCTGCTTCTAAACTAGAATGTATCTCTTAATTCACGGTATAATCTGCTAATTCTCACAGCATATCAACTTTCCAATCAGCTTTATCCGCCATGTTTAGCGAGGCACGGAAAACCCGAAACGGAAAAGACTCGCTAGAAAATACTACAGAAATAGTACGATGGCTCTCACGGCAAATACACACCAAAGCAAGTGAAATGATGTTCACAAATGTCTGGTCCATTCGTAAAAACCTTAGATGACATGTTCTCGGATGTAGGGGTGGTTTACATGAGAACCGCAGATCGTTTAATTTCCCTTGTTCGATCCATTGCGGATTTTAGTCACAGTCGGAATGATAGTAAACATGGTGGCAAATTCATAAATTTGGTTGTATTCGTCTCAAAAAGTCGCTGTAACCCCATAAGTACCCAGCGCATCGTAGCGCACTGATGGTTACAAGAAGGTGGACGTATACTGATTCATTTGGTATATCACATGTGTAGTGTTCTTTGGCGATACTTGGCAAATAAGGCAACTACGTGTTTAGCTGCAGCCAAGGTTTGAAACGGTATTCTAACCCTAGCAATACCGTTTCTTGGAGCTACTACAGGTACTGAGGTAGCCTGGTACTAGTAGTGGTAGGGCCTACGTCCCATTTTACGGTACAAGGATAGAGACAGAGATGCCAACCACTATGATTTATCCCTATTTTATACGAATTTCTATTCCTTTGCACCACTACGACCAGTTTGTATCAAACTACGAAGTTCACTGTGATCGGAAAAAAAAAATTATTTTTGGTCCGTCGGTCTATAATACGCAGGGGAAAAAATACACGGGGGCGGCAAGCGATTTCGCCCCCGAAATGCCAAAAAGAGCCCCCGAAAAGATGATATCGGGGGCGACCCCAAAAGAAAAAGTCGCCCTGGAAATAGATTGTCCAGGTCGGTCTAGCGCCTTGCCGCTCTCACTTGGCGTTTCTGCGCTGCGATGCCTAGGCCTCTGCCGCTAGCGGCAGCGCGTATCCGACGAGCCGCGGAGGAGAATTACATGGTTACGGTGTGGACTGTTCAAGTGTTTACCATTTTAAGCATGCATGTGTGTACTGTACTGTATTGCCCATTCCAGATCAGTGCGCGCCTGCCGCCCGAGCCGCGTATGAGTACGTGTGTGCCGGTTCGCGTTGCTTGCGTGTGCTGCC